TAGATGGCGCCATGACGTTTGACAAGATGGCGCCGACGATGCATCCACCTTCGTGTCAACGGCGGCGCATCCACCACGTGTCAAGAATGAAAGATTGAGGTTATGGTCGGATTTTTGTGCTAGAACCCCCTTTGATTATCTACTAACTATATCAGCGAAAAAAACAATTTTTTTTTGTCGCAAATGGCCACAATAGGGAATTAAAAATGCGAAAAAATTCAAATTATTTCCAGCGGGAAAAAACGCTCTGGTACTGGTCGTGACGTCATGTAGTATGATTTGTCAGTGTCTGTCAGCAACCGTCCATCATACCGTGAGTTTGTCTTGAAACACTGAGTGCTCGGAGCATTTTCCGTCTTTTTTCTTTATGATGAGAAGAACAGGGATAAAAGAACAAAACATCAACTCCGAGCGTTTACTCGAACTCTACATAATAAATACCCGTTAGCTGTGTTTATTTACGTTTTTCTCTGATTTTTTAAAATTTTATCATTTATTAGAATTGGTTTACTTAACTTAAATTTAATGATCAGCTCAGCATTTTATGGATAAAACGATATACCTATTAATTATGACCGAAGAAGGAAATTCCAAAGGCCAATCCGACAATCTGTAATTTGTGATATGGTAGCAAAAGTAAGTATGTGCGAATCTTTTTTTCCATTATACTTGAAAATTTACAACTTGCCGCAGCACAAAACAACAACAAACCAAATAACTGTGGAAAATGTGGAAATCAACCAAATTAAATACAATAAAGTATGACGTTTGACGACAAGGTGAAGCCGGCGCCACACGATGTGTTGAATGCCTTTTAACGTTGGACAGATAGCGATTTGTGGCATCGTGTAGCCGTGCGCTCATCGGATACATGATACATTTGCCGAATGCTAGAGTAAAAAACACTGTACCCAACGTTGGGGCCAATGGTTGGACACATAGTGTGACGCCGGCTTAACGCAAAATCATACTACGTGACGTCATCCAGATTCGCGCGCATTTAGGGTCGTTTGAAATGCTCTTAATTCGCGCGAAACTTTAAACATTTTTCACCAAGTTATTATTGAGTTCTAGGGAATAATATTTGGGGAATACTCTTTCAAAGCATAAATAAATGATTTAAAAAAAAAAAAAAAATGTAAAGTTCCCTAAAATAACATGTTTAGAAGCATCGAATATGCAGATAGTTGTTTATGCAGAAACGTTGCAACATGCTCATTTAGCCGCCAGAATTTACAAGGAAACTAGGGAAAGATTTCCCAAAAGAAAAGCGCCCACCTAATGAAAGAACATTGTGCCCGTTTTACAAAGATTGCGTGATACAGGAAGTGTGAGTTGTGAGTGTGCAAAATCTGCGTGTTGATTTTAGTGTTTTGAGAACCTTTTAACAAAAATTAATATTTTCATAATAAGGATTTGGCAAATAGCTGAATAAGTATTACTTGATTTTTCTCTTAAATGTTTAGTGCAAAAATGTCAGTGAGTGCAAATTCACAACTTAATAAAACGGCACATTTCTTATTTTTACTCGAAAAGTGATAAAAATGCAAGTAATTATCTACATTATTTGAAAGCCAATAACAAACCAAAACGTAAACAGACGGAAATAAATAAACTCCGTGCACAAAAAAAAACTTTTCAAATTTACCAGTTTTATTTACATTTATATCCTGGCAGAGATAATACCTGTACAATGTTGTCACGTTGTTAACATTTTTCTAAATTTAAATTCTGCGATAACTCTGAAAATACTAACAATTGACCCATGGTTAATAGGACCTGATACACCCTGTATACTTACCCTGCCATCACTGTATATTTTAGAAAATTTATTTTACATACAGAAACATACATGCCTATCCCATCACAGACAGAAGAAATGTAATACCAGGTTACAGGAGACTGAAGAGGTGTTAAAATGGCCCGGGCCACTGGACAAAAGAGTATATCAATGTTTTGCTAATGGAAATTAAAGAACTACTAAATGATAGATTTGAGGAACGAGTGATATATAACCCAGTGCCTTGATGATATAACCTTTACTGACCATAATGTATAAGTTGTACCTGTTTGTCAATTTTGAAGGTCTAGGGCTAATATGCGAATGAAATATCATTTTGTATTTTGTTTTCTGGATATTTCCGATTTTTGACGTATCTACTTTGCTTATCTTTGTGTTTTCAACATAAAATAGAGAATTTGAATTTGGGCATTGTCATAATCATATAGCAAGAAGTTCGAGGATACCCTGAGTGAACTCATACAGACTGGACCTAAAGGAACGGAGAAATGGTGACAAAGAGTGGAACTGAAGATGAACCCACCGTAGTACTTTTCACTAGAAATAAGAGAATTCCCTAGAATTAGAATAAAGTACACACATTAATGGGACGTGTTCGGATTAAGCGAAACTGAAAGATACGGAAAAGGAACTCTAAAATCAGGACACATGTTTTACTATGACGACGTTTCTAGTAGAAAAAAAGTCCCTAAAGCAATATTCCTGAATATACAAATAAACAGAAAGACATTAAAGATCACTCAGGCATATCCACCAACATCGATACATCATGATGAAAAAATAGATATTATATTCTACTTCGAGCCGCCACAAATTGGTTAGAGCTACTATAGAAATATTTACCGAGGAAGAATTTTCACGAGATGTAAGATTCAGTAAGATATCTACTTACTTGGGCTTTCTTCAGTCTCTGTGAGGTCTGATGACAAACTTCGGTACATTCAGCCACTGAGTCCAAAAATTCTTCTGAATTCATAGAGCTGTCTGTTGACATCTTAACATTTTCTATTGACTTGACAGAATTTTCGAATAATCTGGCTATGTTGTAGTAATCTATATCTTCAAAGCTGCTTGTAGATTGACTCTCTTGGAAGACTTCCATACTTTGTGGTGGAGTCAACGGAAAATTCGCTAAATCTGGGGTGAATTATCATCGATAAACTGATAAACTTCCAATAAATCTTTTTGGCTGAGCTGATGGTAAATTTTTACCACATATTGTCAACCCAGCAGGTTGAAAAAACTTCTTGAAGTCCGAAAAGTTTCTTGTAATTATTTTCTCGCCTCGTATAGCTTTGATAGTGAAATCCATGATTTTTATCACTGAATAAGGCTTAGGATCAAAATATGGAGTTGAACTATTTATTTTAGGCTGTTTGCAAAACATTAAATCTCTTTCTATAAAAGTGTGGCATTGAATTGTTCTTCTAGTATCAGCATATATCTGTTTTAAATTATTTCTTTCATCAATCTTTTCCACTGTGATGGGGTCAGTTGATGGTGACATTGTTGGTAACAGAAAATTGTTCATTTTCCTGTTGAAGACCAGTTCAAATGAAGATTTCTCAGTCGTTAAATGTGGCGCGGTTCTATAATTGATGAGAAAATCCTTCATTTTGTGATCAAATTTACCTAGCTCAAATGATTTTTCAACTGTATTGATCAATCGTTCAGTTATTCCATTAGCTTCTAGCCAGTATCCAGTATGGTGTTATTTTCTCATGCTGGATATCATCAATCCAGAACCATTGAAAAGAGGACAATTGTCTGATTTAAAAGTCTTTGGAAAACCGAAAGTAGTACACATGCTTTGAAGTATTGGACTTAACTACTTCTACTATAGGGTACCTTGACTACCTACTCATCAACAGCAATAAAAAATACTTGTTAGAAAAAGGTTCCTGCATAATCAACATCGATGTCTGGATATTATAGGATTTCTCTGGTTGGTTTTAGTGACAGCTCGACATAAAATACATAACTTTGGCTGTGGTCCGAATATAACCAGGGTTGTGGTTTCGCGGTCCGAAAGTAATCAAATTACTGATTCCTGGAAAAGTAGTTACTTTTAAACCTTGGTTTCCTAAAATCTGGTTAATCAAATATCAAAATAATTACCGGCCCCCAAGTAGATAACCGGAATTTTCAGTAACCATCTGTCAACCGATTCGGTTACTTTGGTTACAACGTTTGGTTATATTCGAACCATATACTTCTGTCATAGTTTCTAGATTTGAAAACCAAACTTTTGTTGTTAGTAACTGTTTGGTTCTGGCAATGACATGGTTCTGATAATACCTATCTTAAAATGAAGTCATCTTAATAAATTAATTCATTTTTCGGTTTGGAATAAGGCACAAGTGGTGGTAGTTTCCAAAGGTTTTGTTTCTTTGAAAATCAGGATCTTGTCTTGTAGCTTCTTGAACTATTTCTATAGTCATATAACCTTAGGAAGTGTACTTTTTATACAAAAATACACAACTTTCTTCAGAAAGATGTCTTGATAAATAGTCAGACAGATTTGTGACTCCTTATTCATGTTCAATGTCAAAACTGTAAGGCTGGATCCTCAGTAGCATTCTTTCAACTCAAGGATTTGGTGCTGATCTTCTGTTCTGTATAATTTTTCCCAATGGAAGATTATCGCAGTGTAGAACAAACTCAGATCCATAGAGATAATTATGAAAATGTTGTACTGACCAAAAGTGCAAGGTAACGTCTTCTTTTCAAATTGACTGTATCGTTTTTGAGTTGATGTTAAAGTTGTGCTGGCATATGTTACTATGAGCCAATTCACTTAGGACTTGCATCTGCATATAGGTGTGATATTTTCTTAATGTCGAAATATGGCAAGTTATTGGCTTGAAGACACTTTCACACACAGACATTTTTATGTTTAAAAAGACAATCATGAGCCGTTAACAGTCAAAATTTGAATTATTATCGGCTTGAATTGTTGGGAGATATTTCTATTTGCAATCAAGAACTAGATTGTCTAAAATTTGGATTTTCTAGATGATCTGTCTCAAAAGTAATCAGGAGCCGAATCTTGAAAAACTTTTGAGATAAACAGGAAAAGGCTGGCTGAGTATTTCTTCAAGACACTTCGAAATACAGAAATGTTTGTATTAAAATACTCAATCACGAGCCGTTAATCGTGAAAATTTGAATTATAATGGCCTGAAAATAAACCACTGACCATTATTTGTAGGCTTAACATCGATCCCATTCGTCGAATGATGACTGGACAAGCTACTCGTATTCGAATTCGGCGTAGTACTGACACTGGAGTGAGGCGACCCCGGCTTTACATCCTTCTGCAGCTGACTTTTAGTACCACCGCCAGTATTTTCAGCCTTTATCGACGGAGGCGGGTTCGGACTATCCGCACTGCTCTGACTCTGATTCGAAGCCTTTTGCTGAGCCAAACGTTCTTGTTTCCGGAATTTTGCTCTACGATTCTGGAACCAAACCTGGAAAATAAAATAAAATTATTTTGACTGTAAAAGGGCGCCGCCGGCGAGCCAAGGCAATCAGCCTAATCAATTTCAGCTTTTATTTATCGGCTGTCATGTGCATGGGGGGGGGGCGGCGCAATTATTGTAAATTGTTGTGCAAATATTCCAGGCTTTTTGGACAAAGGGCGCTTGTTTTAAATTGGAAAGGATATTCTGTTTTTCATTTTGATGTAAAATTTTCCAAATAATTTATTAATGAGAAAAATATTGAAACACACCTTAAATAGTGTCCTGACGTGATGTTTTAGGCTCGGAGCCAAAGCTTACTAAAGACTTATTTTTAGGCTCGTGTAACGTAAGATTAATTGTTTGTTTTCTAAAATATGAAAATTCCTCTTTTTCGTGAAATTGAATATAAAATTAATCGGCGTTTATTTTTAGTAGGCCGAGGCCAAGAACAAAGCAACTTTGAATCTGGAACAGCTTATGGTGACTCATTTTTGTTTAGCAATTTTTGAAAAATAAAAAAAAGGATTTTCCATCAAGCCTTAAATTGTCGGTTTTCTAAATTTAATTAAGGAAAATTTTAATTAAATACACTTGCACCCGCGCTCTCTAGGAAAATTGATTAAAATCTTCCCCTTTTGCTTTTCCGTATCATCTCTCCTGCAAAGAGATCGCCTCCCTCTTTTCTCAAAATTTATAACACTTTTCATTCTTTAGATTTGCAACCCTACTTATAGAGATTAACTAATGAAATGGGAACTTTTCCGAGGCCGGAAATCTAATTTTTCACGGTAATTTTGTTTAACACATTTTGTTTTAGCTGGATAGGTGCCACACTCATTATTGTTTTGGCTGGAAACAAAACAGGTAATTATATTAAATGTTTCAAGTTTGAAAACTTGTTTAAAACAGAAATAGATTCTTAGAGAAGGCAATTTTGATTTTCAATGTCTTATGATTTTAAGTTAAATGTTGTTCGACATTCATCAAAACCGAATTCTTTGCACTATCGTTCAATCATTCTGGTTTGTATAATTTTTAAGTTGTCTTCATTGTGTGCAATTTCCCATTTCTAGGAATGTTGAATCTTCCTTACTGATTTATGAGAGCATCATTTACAAAAAGTAGGTACTAAAAAATATGTTTTCTCTTCTATAGAGACAGTGCGTAACTTAAACTCACTGCGTATTTCGTATGGTTTTTGGAAGCCTCTGGGGTTTTTTAGTACTACCTTCTTTTAATTTAAAAACCCAACGGGTATCTATTGCAATCTGATTATTTGCAGTTTCAGCTGGAGTCCAAGTATTCATCTTTTCATGTGAATTTAATTCTTTTTGAATTGCCTCGTTCCATTCTAGACTTTTTTCTATTTCCTTCTTCTCATTCTTTTCTTTTTTTCTTCTTCATTGTCATTTTCAATGTGTTCTTCACTTTCTTGATAACTTTCCTCTCTGCTTTCTTCTCTTGGGTCTCCTGCATCGTAAAATTTATATTCTAAAATACTTTTATCAAAACGTACGTCCCTGGACTTTGCTACTTTATCTTCTGGAGGTATCCAGAGTTTATAACCACCTCCACGATATCCCACCATTATAGCTTTCTTGGCCTTTGGCTCAAGCGTATTTTCCTTTGGTAGTTGAACATACTATGTAACTTTTAGCTTACTAATATCAGTATCAGTACGGCCAAACCATTTTAGTGTTGGTGTTTCTGCTTTATCGAAGACTGAGGTTGGTGTTCTATTTAATTCATATATACTTGACATTAAGGGTTCTCCCCGCAGTGTCTTGGGTACACCTGAGTCGATAATCTTGATTCTGATCATATTTAAAAGTGTTCTGCTTTACCATTCGGACTATAGCACATAGTACATTACAAATATGGCAAAAACTTTAAAATTGCGTCATGTGAATTGATCACCATTGTCTATTTGGAATCTTTTAACTTTAACATCAAATTCTCTCAGTTCCATAAATATAGGTAATCAATTATTTACCAAAATCTTGTGATGCCAAAAACCATCTAAAATTACCTGATAATATTTTCCTCCAAAGTGTTATTGGGCCACATAGAGTATTTTTAATACCTATTTAGAATAACTTCATCCTTATTCATCAATCACGAATCAGATGGAACAAAAAATTACCAACAAAAACGAACATCGATTGCTAATACCTACGTCAATTTCATATACCTACAAATAGGAGATTCCTAACTTAATTTTATTTGTGTATTCAAGAAGCGACATACGTTCAGTCACTAGAACGACTGGTATTTCTAAATAGGTATTAAAAATTCTATAGATCACTGTGCACAAGTCCTATTTCTGTAGCACGTTTTTCATTCTGTTGAAATGTTGACCTCGTAGCTCTTCCTCCCATACAAGTAGGACAAATCTTTTTGGGAACTTCCAATCCAAGTTACCTCAAAGCTTCCTTTCCAGCATGTTCTAACCTTTGATGCCATATTTCAGCATCTACAGTAAGTTGAAAATTTTGATTTATCACATTGTCAACATACAGTATATACAGTTCACCTTTATTATGACATTTAAAAGAGAAATTGGTTTCTTGTGTTACTATTATCTTGTGTCTTTTTTCCGTGATTTTTGCATAGATTTCCTAGCCTGTTTGATTTTAAAATTTCACTATTTGTTATGTGAATAATAATATTAATTATAATAAAAATAAATGCCTTTTATTAAATAAAAATAATGTTACAAGAAAATAACTTATGGACGGCGAGATCTAGCATAGTTATTCTATCTAACCGTTTTTTTAACAAATTGAATTAAATACCCCAGTAAAAATAAAAATAAAAATAAAAATAGAAAATAAAAAAGAATATAGGTACCCTTCGAAAGTATACAAGTTCATTTGCGTTTCTGCAAAATGTTCTTTTACTTTTTTCTTAAGAATGAGAACAGAGATCGGGGACTTGACGCCATCAGGCAAGTCATTGTATGTAAAAATACCTTTACCGCATTGTAACTGAAAGAACCCTGAAATTTAGTAGTTCTGTGCCTTGGCACGTAGGGATCATGAAAACTACGCATTTGCTTTCCGTGAATAGCAGCACTGAGAGCAAGCTTATAGGCCAAATACTTGGGTGAACCATCATGAACCATCTTATGAACAAGGGTAGATAAATGAACCAAGTATCTTTCATGGACTTCAGCCATCCAAAAGTCTCAAACAGAGGCGTGACGTGGTCATACTTCCTCGCACCGTAACAAAATTTCAAACAAGAGTTTTGAAGCCTTTGCAGACTATTCCTTCCCCTTTGAAGAGCAGCTGGCCAGTACAGAACATCAGAAAACGAAAAACGTGACAATACTAAAGAATCACACAACTTTAATTTAACCCTCGCAGTAAGGATATCTTTATGCATATATAACACTTTGAGCTTGTAGTAAGCTCCCTGTAACAAGTTGGATATATGTGCCTGAAATCTAAGTTGACTATCCAAGAGAATGCCCAAATTTCTTTCACAACCAGAGGACTCCAACGCCTCCCCACCGAGCCTAATCACAAAGTTATCTAATTGAGCATGCCCAAAGATCATCAACCCAGTTTTTGATCCATTCAGCACAAGTTTGTGAGAACTAGACAGTTTAGAAATAACTGCCAAATCAGCATTAATATCCATAGCTGCCTGCAGAGCGTCCGAATGATGAAAAGAGTGATAAATTTGCATGTCGTCCGCATATTGTTGTGAACGGCAAGATTTCAAATGCTTCTGGAAGTCACAGGTATACAAAGAGAACCATAGTGGTCCCAAAATAGAACCTTGCGGAACTTCTGTAACCAGAAACCTCAGCGCCAATGCGAACCCTCTGGCTTCTTCCTGTTAAATAGTCCTCCACTAAGCATAGAGCAGACCCACCCAATCCAAAATATTTAAACTTAGTGCAAAGAATTGAATGATCCAGGGTATCAAATGCCTTACTATAGTCCAAGAGAACAAGGGCAGACACTTTCTTTTGGTCCAAGGCTCTAAATATGTCATCACATACATGTAAGAGAGCTGTTGAGGTGCTATGTTTGGCACGGAATCCTGATTGAGTCATAGGCAATAGAACCAATATATAAGCTGAGCTGCTTGAGCATCACTCGTTCAAGGATTTTTGAAATAGTAGGAAGTATATATACTGACTGGTCTATCACGCGACATCTCTATAGGCATGCTATTTTTCGAAATAGGAATGATATCAGTTTTTTTCCATATTGTTGGAAATATGCTGGATTTTAGTGATTGGTTTATTATAATGATAATAGGATAGTGGACAAGGTATAATTTCAATGAAATCGATGATTTGTTGTTCATCTATGGACTTATGGAGTAAATAAAGAATATTCCTTTTGAAAGAAATTTCAGAAAAAATTGCTAATTTTGTTTAAAACGAATGTAAAAGTAGAGTTTTGGGACGCACTATTTAAATGAAAATATTTCGCGCCTTGATTCTACGTCATAGCTGCTGTATTTGAGTATGAAATGAATCAAACCTCCGTCCTATATTCGACACACACTTACTCATTAGTGCAAAAAAGAGAGATAAATCAACGTCTGTCAGGTGTCATCAGATCCAGGCGCACCCTCAACTTTTTGAGAGATTACCATTTGTCAATCAATGCGCACTGAGCTTATCTGCATCTTTTTCTAGAAGTATATAAAGAAAAGGACGCCCTGACCGCGCTCTCGCCCACTCTTGTTTATTGATGTCGGAATGCCTCAACGATATAAGACATAACAGCTATGACGTAATTTCCGGGCGGTAAATTATAGCGTTTAAAATAAGTATAAATTTGTTTATTTTTTTTTTAAAGTATATTTTTGTTTTTTAAAATCAAAGAATCATCAACTACTATTTATTTTGTTATGGAGATTAATAAAAAAAATATTTCCAAAGATGGTATTTGTCGGACTAGTCCAACAAATACCATTTTAAAGTCACGTGATTTTTCTATATCCTTGTTAAATACATCTCAAACAGCGGTGATAGTAAAATTGACAAAAAAATTGGTGTCTAATTATTGTTCATAATATTCTTACCTGAAATAGAATCCGTCACTGTCATCATTTAGTTTGTCAAAGTTATTTTCGAAAATAATACAACGAACAAACACAGCTATAATAATTTTGACTATATTAACCTTTTTCCAACTCGAAAAGAAGCAAATAGAGAACGGGTACCCAGTTTAAGTTCAGAATGTATTACAACAGACAGCAGATGTGACAAAAGTGAGTCTCGCAACAATTGCAAGTATTAAAATTGCCCTCTGATTGGTCAATACTACTTCAGAAACGCGTTTGTAAAATGCTAGTGGGAACATATATTAAAATTTAATAGTAATTAACCACCAGTAGCTTTTTGTAGGTGATATCAACGACATAATCAATGGACATACGTTTTTTGTCACCAGTATCACGTGACTTTAAAATGGTATTTGTCGAACTTTAGCACCCAGTACAAAGACGGGTAAGTTTGGGTTAGTTTGTATATTTTTGATCAGTTTCGATATAGCACAGTTATTATACGCTTTATCATTACTCAATAATGTTTTTTTCAAAAAATGGTTTGAACACTTAGCTCTTCTCTTCGTTCGAATATCTACCACATGATGCTTTTTAAGTTTATTACATTTTTATCTGCTAAACAGAGCGATTGTGATATTAAGCTGATAAGAATAGATATTATATATTGATCTGTGTCAAAGGTCGAGAAGAGGATTCATTCAATATTTATAAAATCCAATTTATAGTTATTTGCGCCAATATTTTCGATCATAAAACAATATTTTGGGATCAAACTAAACTATCTATAATGAAGAAGCATGATATTTTTTTGAAGGACCTTTACTAAACTGTTACCTTTTACGGCCTAAATATGTATACCAAAAATGAACTCAATCGGACTACGCCTTCTACCCTGTTCCCGAGAGCCCAAACTGAGAACGCGAAGTTGCCGTATCTCTGAATGTGTATGACCTTGAAGGCCAAAACTCGGTATATAGGTTACTTGAGA